AAAATAAAATTCGAAACATCGTCTTGTTGACGAAAACCACACGAATCTCGGGATTTTCTAGTGTTCGACCAAAAAACTTCCCAAAAATAAACAACACACCCCGTGCGGCAGCAGACGCAACGACTACCTTGTTGTTGCTGTTGTTGTTGTTCTTCACGTCCCGTTATTTACACAGGATGCTGGCTGCATCGCCCCGCTGCACAAGTTTCGCTGGTTTGATTTCCGAGTCCCGCGTCCCATTTTCCGCACAAGATGCTGGCTGCGTCTGTCTCCTGCTGTGGTGCGGTGTTCACTGCTCGTTAACGTCTGTTATTTACGTGTTGCTGTTGTTGTTGTTGGCAGCGGTTGCGTCTGCCGCCGCGCGGGGGTGGTGCGATTCTTTTGCTGGCATGTACTGAAACTCGAGTCTTAACACAAATGAACTTTGCTTTTGCTTTCGCATCGGTTTTTGCGGTGTTTTATAGCAAACAAGTGTGCCCGCCGGCAGGCTGCACTGTGCAAGGACATGTTCAGCTCTGCATTTCGCATCGTTTTTTTCGGTGTTTTCCTGTGTCAGCCCCATTTCGCATCGGTTTTTGCAGTTTTGCCGACTCTCGATTTTCTGCACATGCCGGGGTTGGGGGGCGCAGCTTTGCAAACCTTTCCAAAATAAGCTTTTGTTTGTCTTCACGTTACCCCCTAACACGTCTGGCTTTCGTCTACTGCAAACCTTTCCAAAATAAACGGTCCTTTTCTTCGCTTTACCCCTAATAAGATTTCTCCGCGGCACAAAGCGCGAGGGGTTTGCGGTCTAAAACAAAAACATGTGCAAACCTTTCCAAAATAAGCTTTCTTCGCTATGCGCCTGGCCTTCGAAGACGTCCGATTTATGAGTACTCCTAAATTCATTTTTAACCCCCCAATGCGTTTTCGTGTGGCTTTCTCCTGTATGTGCCCAGTTGCAAACCTTTCCAAACCTTTCCAGAATAGACGTTTGTTTGTCTCCTCTTCACCCCCCTAATACGTCTGGCTTTCGCATTGAAAAGACGTTTCATTTATGATTATTTGTATTTTTCACGTTTAACCCCCCTAAAGCGTTTTCATGTGACTTTTTCCTCTATCCGTGATGGAAAGGGCGTTTTTTTTTATTTCTTCGCGGCATAAGAGCGGGGAGCTTGCAGCCTAAACAAAGCAGGGGGGTTAGGGAGGAGCCTGCCCCCTTGCAAACCTTTCCAAAATACGCTTTTGTGTTTCTTCGCTTTTCTCTTTGGAACCCAGGTTCGAACCCACGTAAAACCCTTAACCCCCCCCAAGCCCCGTTACCGCCCCCCCATTTGCAAATTCGCAATCCTTTCCAAATTAAGATTTTGTTTTTGTTCGCTATACAGATGTATGTCGATGTATGTAATTTGTAGTTGTACTTCTAATGCGTATACTTGTTGCTGTTGGGCATACTGTTGCTGTTGCCGTTGCTCACGATATCATCATTGTTGCTGTTGTTGCTGTGGCGCCGTCTCTTGCTATAGTTGCTATATTTTTAGTCTTACGATTATGAATATTATGAATAATAGTATAATTCGTCTGACTTGGATTAGAGTTGAACGTGTAGGGGTTCTCTGCTCTTTCCTTTTTATCTTCCTTCCTTCCGTCCTTTTTTGCTTCTTTTGTTTCTCCTTCCTTCCTCGCGTCCATAATTCCTGTCTTCCTTGGCATTCCTTCCATCTTTCCGGGGTTTACCTTCCTTCCTTCCTTTCTTGCTTCCTTTTCTTATCCTTCCTTCCTGCCTTCCCTCCCTCCTTCCTCTCTTCCTTCCTTTCTCTTGGCATTCCTTCCTTCCTTCCGGGGCTCTCCGCTCGTTCCTTCTTATCTTTCTTCCTTCCTTTCTTGTTTCCTTGTTTCTCTTCCTTCCTTCCTTCCTTCATTCCTTCCCTCCTTCCTTCCTTTCTTCCTTCCTTTCTCCCGGCATTCCTTCCTCCCTTCCGTCCTTCATTGTCTTCGAAGGGACCCCCCAACAAACAAAAAAAAGAAGGACCCAAAAAAATGCCCTCTCCCTTTTGATGATACTGGCGACAAACTTCCCTGCATTGTGTTTAGGGCCATTTTCAAACTGGCAACCTGTAGCTTACTTAGCATAATCTGTCTCTGATTTCTATAATAGCATAGTGCGACACTCTTGCTCGCGATTCGTTGACAGCAACTCCGCACCGATCTGCCACGATGCACTCGTATGCGCTCTGCACCGTGACAAGGTTACGAACAGTGCGCGAAGACGTGAAGCCCATGTTTCGTGACACGACCACCTCTGCAAGCCAGAAGATTGCAGGCGACGGCAACTCTGCGGAGTTCAGTTGGGCAGCCCCATGCTTGCCGCAACTACAGTTAACCTGACGGTCTGGCGGACACTCACTTATGTCGTTTTCGGCAAAAGCTTTAGGGACACCCATGAGACTCTGCAAAAGCGAACTACAGCTGGTTCGCGACAGTCGCGGCCACGCTTACAGACGTGTGCAGACGCTTGCGAACGGGGCACGCGAATGGTCTTCTAGTCACCTGTTTGACCCTTGTACCCGAATTCTTTAAACGGGAACCACCCTGCAAAGCATTCGGGAATAACACGTCGGCAACTGATCTCACAATACGAGACTTGATTGAACGAAGCAATTGGCTCCTTACTGCCAAAAGGCAGCCTAAGCTAATGGTGGGAAGCCACTGCAGGGTGCATCTGACAGACAGCTTTTTTAAAAAAATCATACAAGAAACCTATGACAGACTGGTAGAACAACTACCACTTACAAGTTATCTCTGTGGACTGTCGATGATAGTTGGTGACTTCATCTTACATAAGAACTGCGCCCTCGAGTCCTCCGAGGTGCTTGTCCAGCGTGGTAAGCCCGAAGGCCTAGAGACAACCGAAGTAATGAACCAAGTTGATGAATGGCAAAGCTTCAACGAAGAGGTGCAAGCCCAAACCAGTGAGAGGTGTGAGAACTGTCATAGGAGTCGGAATGGTAAATGCCATGAAACCCTAAAACCCGAAGCCCAAAACATACTGCAACGGGGACAGGAACAACAGGGGGGGAATGGAGGATGTCGCATGTCGAGACGCCGCACGCTGAAAGAAGAGGCGAATGGTGGCAAAGCAGCAGTGCACCCCATGATGGCGCATGGAAAACTCTGAACCCTGCGGTACAGGGAACGAAGGACGAAGGTGACAGATCTCAAGCTCCACGAAGGCGACAGCGGCCCGGTCTAAATTCAGCCCGTAGCATGAGCAGGTGAATCGGAACATGGTCGGGCATGGCAAACTTCAAAAACCACAAGCGGGAGTGTCGAAGGCTCGCAAGCCCGACACCCTAACGGTAGTTTGGACTGGCCCACGACTGCCAAGCTTGGTGCTACCTCCACTGTTGGCCGTGTCGTCACTGGCCGCTCGCGTTTTCTTCTGTGGTCTGTTTGGTGTTTGGGCGAGGCCCCGCTTGCACCCACAGTTTGCCCTTTCGTTTGCTGCTATTCGGCTTGAACTCCGTCGCACAGGTGAGTCGCACCCTCCCCGGCCTGGCGCGGCTCCCTGCCCTGCCTTGTCGGCGTCTCTTGCAGTGTTTGCTTGGTCCATCCTTCCTGACGGGACCTCACCGTTTGGACAGTTTCAACCTGGCTTTCTCTCCACGACTGTCGCCCTCCGATTCGCTGAGGACTCCTGGGCACGCCTTGCTTGGGCCGCTGACGCTAAGAGCCGCTAAGATCACACGGGCGCTTGCGGCTCATGAGCACGTGGCCCTGGCCTTCCACCACCGCACGGTCTCGATGCCTGCCATTGGAGCCATGCGTCGAGTGCTTTATGCTGCTGCACACGACACTCGTGCTCTTCAGCGCATGGAGTTGCCTTTTACGGCTTGTTCTTGCGGGGAACCTCTACCCACAAGAACGCACGTCACCTTCGACTGCTGCAGAACATCGTCTTTTAGTGCCGCTGGTGTCAGGGCTGACTTCTCCTCCTTGGCACGTGCCTGAAGTCAGTAAGGATCTGTTGCTCGGCCTTTCTCAGGCGCAGACTGCAGGCCATGCCTTGCTTGTGGCCACGGATGGGAGCGCATTGCAGGCACCGGCTGTGTGGTTCCAGCATGCCGGGTGGGGTATCGCCACTTTTTCGGGGTGGTTCCGGGCTTGGACCGTTCGTCTGCCGCCGCCGAGCGGTATGCGCTTCTCGTGATTGCTCATGCTGCTCACATACTGGGCGCCCCGGTCTGTGTTTTGATTGACAATTCTGCCCTGGTTGCGGGCTTCAACTCTGCCAGGTCGCATCCTGATTTCGGCGCCTTTTGGGCCATGATTCAATATCTTTTGCCTGAAGGCTCCTCTGTGCATTGGGTGGCGGCGCATGGCCGACACGAGGAATGGACCTCTCGAGTGCCGCATGTGTCCACTCGACAAGCGTGACCTCAATGATCGCGCTGACAAGGCGGCGGCTGTGGCTGCTACGACCCCTGCGAAGCCTGCCTTGGATGCAGCATGATGCAGCCATGCGCGAATGTCGCAATGCAGCCGATTGGGCTGAACTTGCTGTGCGTCGCCAAGCGAGACTCACTCATGACTGGCATGATGCTGTGGCCACCCAGTCTCGTGTGAGTGCTCGCATGCGAGAAGTGTAATCTGTAATCGTCTGGACCGGCTGTTATCCCACCTTCGGGGCAGGGTGGAGTCACCTAAATTCCAATTCCAATTCCTTGGTGCTACCTCCAAGTGCACCCGGTGTCTATTACAACATGAAAGCTTATCCGAGATCCCGTAGCATTCAGCAGGCGCAGCAGCAGCAGCAGCTACTGGGTTTCTCAGCCTCCTGGGGTGTTGTTACAAGTTTGGAAGCCTGAACTGCCTGCGACCTCGAACAAGAGGGTAGGGAGAATGCGAAGACTTGGCAACGAGCCGAAGAACCACGAAGGGCAATCACAAGATGTCACAAGGGAAGACACAAATTGGCTTTTGAAGTTTCGTTGGTGTGTGGCACAGATTGAGGCACAGACCACAGCAAGGAACCAAAGCGCTCCGGAGTTCCACCTCCGGGAGAGTCTGAGAAAAGGCCACAAACTGCATTCGCCTGATGCTTGTTGACTGGTGCCTCGCAGGAGCCTCATCCTCCGAGCCTCAGCATCTGACTAACTCTCCTCGAAAGCGGGCTTAGATCACACGAGCAGCGTGACGTGTGTAAGCCTCGCGCCGCGTCCTCTGGCATCTCTGGCCATGTGCTTCAGGGCCACACCCTTGCTGTCGTCCAGCACGCCACAAACAACCTGCCACTGCCAGACAGGACAGGCGATCCTCTTTGAGGCGAAGATGCTAAGCTGTAGCTACTCCAGCATGCACCTTTTCAGTACCTACACACCAGACTCCAGTTCGACCAACTCAAAACCAACTGAGTTGAAAGGAGATCAAGGAAGGGCACTGGACCTCTCACCGTTTAGAGTTCAGAGCGTGCCTCTGCACTCCAGAAGGGCTCGGCATGAAACCCAGAGCCATGGACTCTGACCGCTTCTGGTCTATTGTACTGGTACTCTTGCTACTCTGTCTCAAATTGTGTAACATTCTTACCCTGCGTCTTGATCCCTACCTCAACAGTCTGAGTCGTTAGGAGATTTTAGGAGTTGCTGCCCATCTACTTGGCCCAAGCTCCGTGCAGAGAAGGCTCAAAGCAGACAAGCCCTCTCGGACATGTCCAGGCAGAGGGCACGGCCTAAAGAACTACATACAGCCTCAATTAGATCAAACCATGTACATGTCGCCCAAGCTCCATCGTGCAGATAAGCGGTTGGCACGCACTTAAATTTGTTCTTCCTTCTCCTTGCTGCTCAGTTCTTCAGACTGCCAAGCCTACCGCCTACCTGTCTGTGCATGAGAAGACAAGCACTTGAGGATTGGAGAACCTTTCTTCTCTAGCCAAAAATCGAAGCAGTCGTCAGTTTCTAGCGAACAGGGCACAATACCATCGCCTCAACTGCATCTTCGAAATAGGCAATGTCGACGGCTTGTAGCACATCGGCAGGGATATCCGAAAGTCTCTGCCAACAGAGCACGAAAAAGTGCTTCCCGGCAAAACCCTTTCACCACCGATACATCTGCGGACGCCTTGTTGCCTTGAAAGGCAGGTACCCTGTGATGTCGGAGGAGCGTGCCGCCACGGAGCGTTTGGCGTTGGCATCACTTGGACTGAGTGAGACGACTTCGCTTTGCTGAACTGCGTAGGAACTGGACTGCGCTCCAAAACGACGACGGCGAAGCAAACCAGTCATTGCCGGTGTATTATGTCTACATCAATGCTGCTTTCCAGCTCCCGAGTCGATATCTCCGGCAGGGTACTGGATGGCACACATACGTGGAGGCGGAGGATCCATGCGAGCCACAGCTGCACTGCAGCTCCCATTCCGAATGTGATAAACTGTCCTTCTTCAGCCGCAAACCTTGGCAGTCAACTCACATCACGGTCCTTGACAGATCAGCCCTCGACTGGCCCACGCAGCACTCGCACGAATTGCAAAGGCAGGTCGAAGCCAACGGTCGCACAAAGCAAAAAAGATCTTGCCAAAGATTGTTGACACATCGGATCTTACTGCATCCCCATCAAAAGGAAGTAGCTGAGGCAACGACTAAGCCGATGAGGACAGGTCTGAATCATCCTTTGTGAAATATGCTCGTCTGCAAGCACAGGCATGGGCAATCAGCATCTGGTGCGTGTGCTTGCTGAGAAGATGTCCCCTAGTAAGTCGGCTCTCTGCTTCTCCACTTCCTCCTTGACAGTCTTGAGCCTCAGAACAGGAATGGATGCGCATAGATCCGCACGCGCACGGAGCTGGCCCAAGTTCTCAGCAGCAGGCAAATCATCAAGTTTGCATGCCTGCTTCATCTTCTCCCGACCTGACAGGACACGATACAAGTCGAACTAAACCTTCTTTCCAAACACAATTTGGTACCGAGAGCCCTGCTATTTTCGTCGCGTACCTCTAGCATGAAGCTAAGCTCGCTTTTGAGATCCTCCCAAACCTGGCCGTGGGGGTGTTGTTGCTGCTCAAGGCTTTGCGGACTGCACCGCCTGCTTCTCAGTGATCGTTGTCTGCCGAAGCTCCTTGTGTACCTGACAGGACAGGAGCGGAGCTGAAGTCGAGCGTGGACTGCGGACTGCGGATGACTTCGGACTCTTGGCCGATCTTGGCCACCAGGCCAGCACGCTCAAGTCTTCTGCAAGCCAGTCGTTTAGCCCGACCGCATGCTTCACCTCATCCTGACATACTCACCTAGTCAACCTTGCACTGCCGTTTTCTGCGAGTCTACCCACTCGGCGTGCCTCAAGACTCTTGGAGCTTTGCAGCCTTCGCTCCAGCTCCGCGACCAAATTTTTGAACTTCTTCAGGCTTTCGTCCACAGCCTCGCCGATAGCCTGTCAAACGCCGGCACAAGACATCTTTGTTGACGGGAACGCCAAAGGCACCAAAGCATGTTCAATCCAAGCACCACGGCGAGAACGTGCAGCACGTACTTGGGCTTGCGGCCTTCACTTTTTCTGGCTCTTCCTTCTGATCTTCATACATCCTTAGACAAGCCCGTGCCAGGCCCAACTGGAACTGGCTAGGCGACAAAACACAACCATGTGCCAAATTCTGTGTGGGTGCTTCCTGACCATCAGATGGAGGGTCCCTGTGTACCACTTGCACCTGCACAACTGCATCGCGTAGCATCGTGAAGCAACGGCATGCAGATCAAAATTTCGTCTTCCGAGACGGGATCTTCCGGTCTTCCCCGCATGGCACCTGCTGTCCAAGTCGACCTGTGCGGGAGCCTGGTCCCCCCTTGCACGACGAACTCGCCTGACTTCGGCCACAACAACTGCAATCCAAGCCCTGCAATTGACAGGGCATCAGAACACGAAGATTTAGACTTGCTCAGATTGCACTGCAAATTCATGACGAACGGACATGCGCCTGCATCAAAATCGTCAGGATCATATGGTCGGAACCGAATCACGGGACAACTGCTTCGCAAGATACTAGCGGTCCTAGCGGGTCCTTCGTGTAACGCGTGTTCCTGTGGCAACTCTTGGGATCTTCGAGAAAGTCAGAGCTTTGCTGCAATGGCTCAAGCTTAGCCGGATGTGCAGCTTGAACTTGCCCTGCCGCACTCAGCTCATACAAGCTGTCGCATGTTAATTCGCTTCGGCCGCCGCGGCTTCTTTCGTTCTTTTCCGGCAAGCTCTTCCGCCCCTTCCGCAGTGACCCACCCCCCCTTGCAGCGGCCTGAACCCCCCCCCGGTTGGCTTGCAGGCATTGAAGTGCTCGATCGGGTGTCGTCTAGAAGGCGTTGGAACGATACTATAAGTTCATGACGCCGCTGGTTCCCAAGTCCAATGTCAGAAACTGTTGTCCGGGATCCGTCAGTAATTTGACGCCGCATCTTGTTTTTGGAAGGAAGCTTCACCAATGCGGCTATCCCCATTCACCTCTTTCTGAACATGGCGCACAGGCCGGTGACTATATCCCCATCATTCCCCATCTGTGTCCTTCTTCGTGTGTGCGAGCACCAGGAAAGGGGCACACCAGTACAAACAGTTCACAACACGCCTGCTGAAAAGAAGCGGGCTTCGGCGCGTACCTGCATGTTTGCAACAACCCACATCGCTGGAGAGTTGAGGTTCTCCGGTGAGTTTACGTGCTGCATGTGTGTGTGTGTGTGTGTGTGTGTGTGTGTGTGTGTGTGTGTGTGTGTGTGTGTGTGTGTGTGTGTGTATGTGTGTGTGTGTGTGTGTGTGTGTGTGTGTGTGTGTGCGCCCCTCGTTCGAGCTTGGCAAAGCATCGAGAGCGGGGGGTTCTGTCTGCATTTTGGCCCGAAGATGGCCCAGCCCATCATGCAAGAAGGTACCCTGTCCGAGCTCATGCTGTTCAGCTGCTCACGACAAAGCCTTTCGGCCTGGCACCGCCGCTCCTCCAAGCTCCCTTTTTATTCCTTCGGCATTGCTCTGCTGTCTCATACCTATTCGCGACTCGGTTCGGTGTATCGCAAACTTATTTTGTGTGCTGCATTCTGCCCCTCTCTCCGTGGACGGGTCAATTTTCGGGTGTTCGGAGGCGCTGAAAACTCAGGCGCCTGTGGAGATTCGCAAAAATACTCATCCTGCACGCGCATCGCCCGAGATCACTCAAGCAGAGTGGATCTCCGTCGACTCCATGTCTTTGATGGGACGAACTCTTGGAGATGCATTCAGGGTGTGTGCCAAGTGGATTGCAAGCAGGGAAAACGGTGGGATGAGTTCAGGCTCGTGCATCGGGAGCTTATGCTCTGAGGCACTGGCACGCTGTCTGGCCGCTGATTCTGAGCTTCATCTCCGATTTCGGCCATGCGTCCCACCAAGTAATCAACCTGTCGAACCCGAGAAAACAAATCCGTAAAGAAGCGCAAAGGGTCTGCACTACATTCTACGTGAAGTTCAAACACTTACCATCCGATCATAACATCACAACCACGGTTCAAATCAACACATAGTGTGATTTGTCACAGACATGCGTATATGTGCTTCTGCTTCCTGGTTAGGATTCATGCCAACTTTGTCTCACTTACGCAGCTTGACTGCTCAAGACCGACCTTGCGTCAGGTCCAGCGAAAGATCCGCTAGTGCCTGGGGGTTCTAGTGCTGTCTTTCCGCTGAGCGTCAATCTTACGGTTTTAATCTCTCCGCTTGCTTTGCTTTGATCTGCGATCGGCTGCCTTGGGCTTTGTGACCGAGAGTTGAGTGGAATCCTCCGCTTTTCACAGGTTATCAGCCGCAGCTTTGCCAGCTGCTGCTGTGAGACCGCTTCGCTTCGCTTCGCTCGCTGGTCCTGCTTCGGGTGGACCTTAAATATCCCCGGCTTCGCTCGCTGGTCCTGCTTCGGGTGGACCTTAAATATCCCCGTGTTGCTCGCTTGCATCTGGCTGCTGCTGTGTGGGCCCGACCTCTCGTGGAAGGCGACCTGCGCAACGTCGCTCGCTTCGCTTCGCTTCGCTTGCTTCCGCTCTGCCTGCTCTGTGCTGTGTGTTTCTTGTGCCTCTCCTTCGGCGCTCTCCTGCCTCAGCGGCGTGGGTTGAGTAGTCAGCCCGCGCTTCTGGTGGATGTGGAGGGGGCCGTCACTGATCGCAGTTGCTTCGGCGACTGCGCACCGCCCTCGCCGAAGAGGGGGGTGTGATCAGTGACATGCCTGCAGCCCTTCGGGCAGGCGCGTCCAGTCACCAGGGGCCATCTTTCTCTGTGATGGTACCCAGTGAGTGGGGTGGGCACAGCATGTTTGTGACTCGTTTCCTTGGCTGTTGTTTGCCTTTTCTCACATAGATTAGGTCACTAGGTCCTTAGGTAGAAGCCAGAAGTTCTGCAACCGCAGCGATGAAGACGACCGCTTGCATGTGGCTTGCTGTGTGTCTCGGTCGAGTCTTTAAATGCGAAGGCAACGTACCACACACTCACATCCAAGCCCTGCCTGGTCAGTCCAAGCGTGCGAATTGTTGGACAAATTATCTTTCATCATCCTCGCCAGACCAAGCACTGACTCTACCTTCAAAGGCTGCGATCAGCCTCTTCAGCTTGTCCAAAGTGTCGTGCGGCTCCTTGCAGGGGTTTCGCACCAAGATGGCGATGCTGAGAGTCAGTCAGAGAAGCGGTAAGATCGCGGCTGTATAAACGCGATTGATGATTTCGACAAGCCTCTGCATCATCTGCACGGCACCACGCTGCAGATGCAAATCTGAGGCCCAGTCTTATCATTCATCTTTCCTCGAGCTTCGAGGAATTGCCTCCACAGGTGAAGATGTGCAGACACAACTAAACAGCCATGTGATGTATGGAATGATGTATGCGTACATACATATATCTTTGCTTGAATAGTGAGTAGTGCTGTATGTTAACGTTTGGCTCCTGTATACAAAGCACGCATTGCATACTGCATGCTGAAACTCTACAGTACAAGACGTGCTTGCATCCTAGCCTTTATGCAAGACATGACCATGTAATGCACACTCGTCATATTCTGCTCTGTTTACGGCGGCTCTCCTTGCTTTTCACGAGACAAACACATTCTCGCGGCTTTGTACAGGCACGCTGCACACAGGACAACTTTGTAAACACTCTGCGCATGCAAAGCAGCAGCAGAAGTGCCGGCACGGCTGCAGCACAGTGTTCCGAGCAGCATCCATACCTCGAGACAGATTGATCTTGTTGAGAACTCTGTTTCAAGCTGAACCATCACCTTGTCCTTAGGGAAGCTGTTCTCTGCTTGGGATATGCGGCACAACCAACACAAGCACACGTCAGTCTCGATCATGATTAGCTCCAACGTCTATGCAAGCTCGCTGGCTGATATATCTCTAAGCTGGACAGCAAATTTGATGACCAAGAACTATCGTTCATCTGGTGCCATGGCACGCCGAAGCACTGATTCTCCTATTTCACACCGAGTATCAGCAGCCACAGGTGCAGTTTGGTCGAATGGTTTGATTGCTTCTCACACCGAGTGTCAACTAGGAAAGCCGCCCTCCCGAAACAAAGTCAAGAAGCAGATGACACAAGCCAAGGCGTCTCGATCTTCTCGGCTTTGAGCAGCTTCGGAAGCAGAGTCTGGTAAGTTTACCAACTGCCCGTTCAAATCATGCCAGCGAAGGACATCCTCCCGAAAGAAGCCCAGGAAGCAGCCCCATCTGGAAGCCGAGCGAAGCATGTTCTGCGTCACTCCCTGCGAAGATGCGAATTTCGCAAACAAGGTCAAAACCTGAGCCTCGAATCGCCCACCCATTCATATCAACTATTGAATCCTCCCAGATGAAGTCTTTCCTGCCTTGCCCAACTTGCCTGCGTCGGTTTGCGACAGGTGTTGCATCAAGCGGTTCATCTTGACAACATGTTGGAAGACTTGCGCATCAGTGCAGTCGTCACGAAGGAGACCACTATCTTGAAGCAGCCAAAACACCAGAAAATCGTTCAACTTTGGTCTGTTCGGATCTCCGCAGCGCTTGCCTGCCCGTGACGTCTGAACCCGAACCCACAGTTCATTGCTCGAGAATTCCGTCCGAAGCCGCATCAGCACCGACGTCGAAACCTGCCGTGCATGCTTGGTAGAAAAGAAAGATCTCGGATCCGAGGGGTAGCTGTTCTGGAAGTGCAACAACTCTTGGTGTGCCTCTGCATCATCCGAAACAGCTTTGGCACGGAATTGAAATCTGATGTCCTTTCCCGTCTCCTTGTACAATTTCTCCATAACACGAACTCGATGCTGGCCATCCATGACATAGAAGTTGTGAGTAGTGCTATTCAGCAGTATGAGCAAATTGATCTGTCCAAACTCACAAAAGCGCCCGTACCTTGAGAGCTCCTTGAGGTTATGACGTACTCTCTCTTCGACGACGTCGTCATTTATGGCTCGATTGCTGCTCATGGACTCGAATCTACAGTTGGATTCCATCACGTTCTTCCACTGAAGGAAGCCAGTATACACACGGCCATCCAGATCTCTTACCACCAACCTGCTGGCAACGCCCTCCTCCATGATGCTTACCTGCTCAGGCACAAGGTGCGCCATAACCCTGCCAACCACTATGAACGCAAACCCGGCAGCGGTTTGTCACAGTCACAGCTCTCATGATGCACTCATATGCATTCACAGTTGCCAAAGGGGAAGTATGAGACTGCGAACTTGTGGCAGCAGCATGCAAATCGCCGACTCGAGGACGCACCTGTCGTTGCGACTCCATGGCTAAAAGCTGAAGCTATGATTCATGCCGTATATAGATAAACATCAAGGGCTCCGAGGCTAGTCGGCTAGTCTAGAACTCGGTGTCCGCAGGAAGCGTACACGTTCAACGCCGGCGCACGGATCCAAAAAACTGCGGTCAAAGTGTCAGGAGCAAACCTGATGTTGACACGACAATGACAAACAAGGCTTTGATTTCACTTGCACCATCTGCACAAAAAGACATGTGAAGCAGCCTCCGCTGCAACGCATGACGACCTCTCTGACCCCGGTGCTTGGGTCTTTCATGCTCCTGGGACGAGTGGGTCACACAGGCACGACGTGGCACCCTGCAGCGTGGGCAACAGGAACGGGTCCTTGTTGTGACAGAAAGCGCATGTTTCCGCATGCTTGCACGAATCATCTGGCCTTCACTGCTTCGCAAGAACTGAGCTGCAACGGCAAGAAGATCTTCAAACCAGCTACTGGCATAACATGCAAGCCTTTCGGGGTTGTACTTGTTGCAAGGCTTGCAACCACCGTAATGATGACCCACACTACCAGGGTTGCCTCGGATGCTGCCATGAGGTGAAAACATGCTGACCTCATGGCCACGTCGCCCTGCAAAATATGCTGAACGCACAGAGCCCTCGACTTGAACACACAAAAACACAGAATACAGCTGCTGCGCCAGCACGGGCGTTCCCTAATTGCATTTACTAGATTCACAGAAGGATTCTGGTCAACTCCCAAGTTGCACGGGTTGTCAGGATCAACTCTCGGCTTGCGGTTGGGAAGATCTCGAACTGGAGGATCGGCGAGAGCAGACTGGATACGCGAGTCTGCAGAAGGGCCCGTGGTGTGCATGCGCCGACTCTATGTTTGCCAGCACCTCATCCACCAAAGAACGCTTCATCGTAGAAACACAACGCCCATACATGTGCACATCACATTGGGGATCGAACCAAAAGCTGGAAGGTAAGCAAGGCTTACCCTCCGCTGTCAGCAATCCAAACTGTCACCATTTGCAGCTTCGAGCCAATGGCTGAGGCGTTTGCGCCAACACATGCGAACGGAGTGTCTGCCTTGTTTTCCTACATTGTCAGCACCCCTAACGAAGCACATCAACCACGTCAGTAGGAATAACGGCTAGTCAAACAAGAGCACAAATTCAAGGCCGACTACCGAACTTTTGCGGCTCCAAAGCTGCGCAGCCACCTATGCCCAAGTCGTGCCAAACTGAGAGGATTGAACAAGGCCAACTGCCAAACTGAACACCGGAGGCGAGCGGAATTGAGCAAGTGGACACATGGGAAGGATCAAAGCTGCAAACGAAGGCTCTATTTAATGAAAGCCTTTTAGAAGGCGACGGGTGGGAAGGTTGTTACACGATAGAACAAGCATATACAAGCGTCAATATCACAAGCGGTTGCGGTGTATTCGACGGTTGCGGTTGGACAATGGCTGTAAACTTTCAGCCGGCCAAAAGCAAGTTGAACTTTGCTGCTCGACAGGCGAATGAACTTCAGTTGCCATGTGAGCATCTGCAACCTCCGGCCGCATGGCACGGCACTGCTGAGTGTTTCGCAAAAAGCAATTGCCCGCATTGAGCATCAAAGGTTAACGGCACTGCAAGCCAAACCGATCTCAGTGGGTCTTGATTGTGCATCTGCATTTTTCGCCAAGAGCTCGAAGACCTCGGTTTTCCGTTCCCACCGGTTTTGGCTTTGATTTTGCAAACACTCTGCCTTGGACGGACTTTGGACCTCCAAACAACTTCTGTTTTCGAGCCTGTCCAAAGACGAAGACGTCAAACAACCATGCACAACTCGCATCTCAATTTTAGTGACAGTTAAGCAACAACACGTTTTGATGATATGTTTGAAGCTGCTTGCCTGCCAAGCCAAGAAGCGCTTGATTCAACAAAACCACAAGCTTGAAACACGCATGTTTGAATGGAACGTTGAAACAAACCAGAAAGCTACGGTGTGGCATGACCTTGGTCGAAGATGTCGAAAACGGCAGGGACATTCGATAGTGGTCCGGATAATGTTTCTTTGGAAATGTAGCAGAAACAAAATGCTCGCAACACAATTGCAAAACTTGAACAGTCTCTTTCTTGCTGCGCTTGCAGCACACTGCCATTGCAGTACACTGCCAACAAGTTTTAGGTTTAACCCAGACCCACAGCAACCGCTCCACCTCTGCAACGCTCCTGGTGGGCAACAGGAAAGCCAACAGGATTCAAACAATGATGCGGCTCGCATAGTGCGATCAAGCAGCTTTCAATCAACTGATTTCGAACAGCTCGGTTCCAATCAAAAAATGCAGGACAAAAAGAAAACATCAACGTTGAAGAGCCAAGTTCGGAAGCAGCTTGAATGCTGGAATCGATACCAGTTTTCGGGCTGATCTTTTTTCGACCCCAAAATGTTTTTTTTCAGACCACGCGCTTGATCCATCTTGATTTCGATCCGGCACGTCTTTTTTCCGACCTCCGACAAGGCGAAGAAAAAGACGACGATCTTGTTAGGCGACTTTTTTTTTGGCGTGACTGGGTCTCAATGAAGCGGGTGCGCTCGGTCCGTGCAGGAAGCAAAGAACACAACTAAGCATCAAACAATTGTACAAGGTGAAACGTTGGCATACAGACTCAGCCGGCGAAGTCGTTCAGCGCGAATGAAATTGCCAGCACCACATCGCTCACTGGCTTCGCTTCCCGAATTGGGTCGCACAATGAAAAGGAATGGTCCCGCTTCCAAACAGAGTCGCGCAATGGCCTTTCAATCTGTCGCCAGCAATCTGGTGGCAGCGAACCACCGCAGCGAAAGTGATGAGCCAAGCAGTCAGAAATCCCAAGTTTGCAATCAGCATGAATTAAATGCACGCGAGCTTGCGGATCACTGGCCCTGCTCCCCGTGAATTCTGGGTCGCGCAATGGCCAACATAGTTGCCCCTGCTGCCCGTGGACATGGTAGCATGATGTGTGTGGATCGCGGTCCTGCTCGCCATTGAGTCCGTGTAGCGCAGGCCAACACAGAAACCTGACCCGTCCCTGAACAGCATCCCCCAAGCAGCGGGGTGCGTGCACCGACCCTGTCCTGTGGCCTCCACCAGGCGCCTCCTCCAATCAGAGCGCTGCACCAACAGTGCTGGGACCGAGTGCAGCAACTTGCTGTCGTTGAAGCCCACCCACGCCAAAAAGAAATTCAGGGACGGGTCGGACATGCCAATGTTGAACCGCACGTGGACGTTCCTTCGTCACTGTTTGCGTGTGCTGGTTTTAACGGTGCAGCTGAAGGCTGAAGTGTCCTTCTTCCGCTTCTGCGATGCTAAGCGGTTGCGGGCTATGACAGGCGTTACAGAACGGGCGGTTGTGAAACGGGCGGTCAGTTGGAGCGAGCGTCAAGACGGATCCTGCCCTGCGAGACGCGGTTTTGCTGATCCGGTTTGCCGGCCGTGTGCAGACGGAAAGAAGCGCTGTGAAGACTCCGAAACCTTTTCCGCTCTGAGGCATCGAGGCAAGCCATGAATCTGCGAAAGAACCGTTCCAGTTGCGGCTGATGCTGGCGCACTGATCCACTCGAGATGAAAGTGCAAGTCGCCGTGCTCCGTAGCCTTTTGGCTCAAGGCGTTTCGGCTCGAGACTGGCTAAGCTACCGGTCGTTACGCGTAGGTAGGGCTGGGAGTGCGCATTTCACCAAAGGGTGTTTTGTGCCAGGGTGGGAGCCCGTATCTAAAGGTTCGAGAACTCTCCGTGTTTCTGTTGGGCCCGTAGGCTGCAGGGCTTGCCGGTGTCTGTCTTGACACCCCTCGGCTTTGTGTCGGTGCCTGAAGGTTCGTCAGTTCCTTGAAGCTCCTTCTCTGTGAAAGCTTAGGGGAGGAAGGCCCCGGTGACTACAGTAGTGCGTGCCAACTGCCGGTCTCTCAAGAGCTACCTTCGGTGTTGAAGTTGGTGGTTGAGTGTTCATGTTTACACCAAGTGCTCCATTGTTTCCATCCTTGCATCTAACTTGGGAAACGGACGGCAATTCTGCTGTTCCGGTGTTAAGATTAGATTTTCCAGTCGCTGCCTTGCAAGCCACGCTTATCTGTCTGACTGTGAAAGCTTCAAAGTAACGTGGAGTGACTCATAAGGCACCACAGGCCGATTCAATTTGGAACGGCTCTTCATCATTGAGATGAAGCTCCAGCACTTGGGCAGCACCATTCAAGACGATGCTGCTATGGAAACGTGCAAACAGCTATGGCAACACTTTCTTGGCTATGCTATGGAGCTCTCTATAGACGTTGATATAGTCCTTGCTTCGTATCCATCGGTTATTGAGGAATGCCAAGCTTTTGCGGCCAACGTCTTAAGAGTGGGAACCTTTCAGGCTGAGGATGTGACTTCGCTATTGGCTTCTCTTCGCCCCGGCATGAAGATCGCGTTAGTTGACCCAATCCCAAGCAAGGCTAAGCAAATCCTCAAGGCTGTGGATACCACTAACCTGGTTTTTATCATCTTTTCGTCTCCAGCTGGATATCCCCAGGATATGGTCTTCTATGACACGCAAAGGAAGTATGAGCTGGATGGTGAGTTCTCTCTTGAGCTCAATCATTTTAGAGACAGCAAGGACCTCGTGCCCTCGCCGGTGCCGAGTCCACCAGATCGCCCTCAGCACGCCTCATACCCCACCTGGGCCATGATTCAGAAGAAGGATTGCAATGAGCCAGGTCATTGGCCCAAGATGGACAGTCTCATTCTCTGCGACGATAGGCTTCCATGAACGCAATGCTATTGAGGTCTGGCTCCAGTTAGGTTTTACTGTCGCCAAAGACAAGACATACTTCAAAAAGCAATGCAATGACAAGATGTATGCCATCACTGTATGCATTGGAATGGCCCAATTAACGGGTGATATAGTTCGTCAAGCCTGCAACATTATTCGACGCAATCTTGACAGGGCTCGGGACCTCCACAAGACAGGTGTCTTCCCGTACTTTCAGATCCACGTGAGCCAGCTGCCAGCAAAGATGCTG